GGTCTCCGTTTTTTTGTATTTCATACGGTTTTCGTGTTATGCTGTATTAAAAAGTACATTGTGGTGGCACATTATTGTAACTCAGAATTGTAACATTATATCTCCAAAACTGGCAGAGATAGGTCAATAGTTACTATTAAAGTTGAATAGGAAGTCACTTACTGGCAATTTAACAGTGACCATAAAATTGACCTTTGACCTACTTTTCACCATGAATTGAACTTTGCAAATTTTCGTTCCCTTTTATCACCAAAACTGGCAGAGATAGGTTCATAGTTACTATTGAACTTGAATAGGAAGTCATATACTGGCAATTTACTGTGACCTTAAATTTGACCTTTGACCTATTTTTGAACTGAACTTTGCAAATTTTTGTTCCCTTTTATCTCCAAAACTGGCAAAGATACGCCCATAGTTACTATTGAATTTGAATAGAAAGTCAGAGGCAATTTACTGTGACCTTTAAATTGACCTTTGACCTACTTTTCACCATGAACTGAACTTATTGATTGCATCTTATAGAGCTTGTCAAGCACAAGACTGGTGATGGTGTCCCTTTTTGGAAGGGGGGGGGGTCCATACGAATGCGCTTACTCCAGCTGGTGGTACAATATCCGGAGGCGGTATCGCCTCTCTGATCCTCTAGTTTATTTTACAGTTGACCAAAAAAAATTTTTTTCTATATTTAAGTAAATAAAACTACTCAAGCACAAATCTTGGACTTATTGCTAAATACATTGCTAAATTTGTCAAGGTTTGCACTGTGTCTGTATTCCAGAAGCTAAAAGATGTAGCAAAGGAAATTTTGGGGAAGGGTATCTTTGTCAACTGGCCACATTTGTTTGAGGCAAGAGTCAACTCTGTGTCTGATGGTGAGGCAAAGTAAGAAAAACTTCCTCCTGTCATAGAATGCTGGTTTTCAGCATAGCATGTCCAATGTGATAGAGCGCTAATTGTGTTTTTAAAATCACTATGATTTTGAGCTTCTGTCTGATAATAATATTAATGATTAACTCATGATTGGTGGAGAAATTAAGTTGTTATTCTCAACTATGGCTTGTTTCCCAGGATTTCCTCACATAATAGATTTACTCAATATAAGAGTAAAAAATGGCACTGCAGTTCTCTTCAAATCACCAGCCTTACAGTTTTGGCTACTGACGCAGATGAAATTTTTCGGACTATAGGCAGATTCCCTACTTTTTGGGAGCCAAAATATCATTGGCCTAGGCAGCCCCCTGGACCAGCACAATATCTTTCGACTTTTTCACTTAATGGCATTCTCATCCTTGTACTGATCACCTATATAATTTCCAACATTTATATTTTTAAAACAATCAGTTATCGTTATTGTATAAGTCATTCTGTTCTGCCCTCCCAGGTTTGTCCTTGATGAGGGAACACATCACAAGACCAAGACCCTGGCTGCCAGTGAGGAGGTGAAGATGAAGGAAGAACACATGAACAGTGATGAGGTCACCATATGGCACAGGGAGGTGGACAGTTTGACAGAGAAGTAAATATGATAATGACCTTCCTCTGACCTTGAGTTTTTAGATGACCTTTGACCTCATAATGACCTTTGACCTTATTATAACCTTTCACTGAACTTGAACTTAAAATGATTTTATAAAGCATCAGTTTATTTTAGTTCAAGTGATGTTAAATGAATTATGATTAAAACAGGGGTTGAAGTGTACTTTAAGGTTAAAAAACCCAGAGATTTGTTGTAAACTCTGTCATATTTGCTTGTTAGAAATGGATCAGTTCAGAGATATGGAATAATTCAGAAACATCATCACAATTTGCCATTTGTTTCAGGTACAAGGGCAGAAAAGGGGTAGACATTGGCACCACATTTTTGTTGGTTCATGCTCAGCCCATGATGGGAAGAAAGTGAGTAGAATTCTGTGGGCCAGACAATGATTATCATCTTGATTAGGGTGATGAATGAATTTCAGCACACTAAATAGATAACTGATTAACAGATTATTAAAGAGGACCATGGTTTCATGTAAAGAGGTCAGTAAAATTTCAAGAAACAATGAACATTTAATTGAAATATAACAGTTACTGTACCAAATGTGTAATTATTAAGATTTTACATGCGATGTAATTTAAATAGACTATTCATTGTCACTGTTCCCCAGATATGTGTGTGGTTCAGGAGGCAACATTACACTGGAGAAGCAGTGGTCATTTAACCCAGTGCCATATGCCTACCAGGCTACAGTCAAGGTAAGGGTCAAGGTCAAATAAAGGTCAAGGTCAAAATGCAAGGTCAAGGTGGGCTTAAACATTACTTTTATCTTTGTCCACAGACCTACTGTCAGTTTGAGGGTAGAAGTTGTGGTTATCCTGTCAAGTGAAGGCAAGGTTCACAGGGACGGGGATTAAAATATAAAAATAGCTGATGGGCTGTAATAAAAGCTGGACCTTACCATTATGTTGACTCAGCAGCTGTAATTTCTCTACCTACTTTGTACCAGGCATGTAAACTCTGGCACCATAGTGTTGAGATCAAGCTTTGTCTCTTCCTATCACATGACTTGGTCTTTTATGTATTATCAGTACAAAGTTCAGAGAATAATATATGTTCAGTTGCGCCTGCTGCTTACATTAACATGCAAGGCTGAACAGGGAACACCCTAAAGTACATGCACAGTTCATAGAAATAAAAGATTACAGTTTCATTATTATCTCCAAAGTCTTAGAGTTGTATTATAGTCATCTTGTGTTGATTGTTCAGCAAGTACTTTTCTCAAGTGGAAGTAATTTTTTGTTTGATTACTACATAGCTCAATATCAGCCCTTTCATTCCAGGATATTTCTGTCCATGACTCCAGTTTCAAACAGTACAAGACGCTGGACCAGTTGTATCCTCCCAGGACTGAGGTTTTCATGCTCGGATCACCTCACTATGGCAGCATGGGAGAAGTAATGGACGTGGATTTGAAGTCTGCAAGAGTTCGCGTAAACTTCAGTGTCCCCACTGAGCCAAATCTGCAACGTGTTGCCAAGAGGGCAAATGTAAGGGTTGACTTTAGAAGACAACTTATTTTCCCTTAAATCTAAATCTGATGCAAATTTATTTTTGCTTAAATTGTTGAAAAGAATTAAGAATGTAAATGCCTAAAGTATTTTTACCTTCTTTGATTTAATATATTTATTTTCTGCAAAATATGAAAGCAAACTATGTGTTCAGTGACTAAGTAAATCTACAAGTTGTTTTTTTTTTTTTTTTTATTAATTGTTGAATGTATGATTTGAACATTTTTTTTTATTTTATTTTTTTAACCATGTAAAATATGTCGGGTATACTTCTATATATTGCATAACCTTCTCATAAAAGCACATAGGAATATTCTGCATACACAAGGACTCGCTTTCATAAATTTTGCTATTACATAAAAATATTCAACTTTCAGAATCTGTCCACGCACTGGATGCCTGGCTACATTCTGGCACAAAAATTGGCAGTTGACGGCCATTTTGTCTCCAGGATCACGGGCTGTGTCTTGATCTGCCGCGGTGTCAAGGAAAACATCCAGACGGCACACAAGGTCAATGTTGGCCTCAATCTGAAGTTTAACAAGAAAAACCAAGAGGTGCCGGGATACACGAAAAAATCAGACGAGGGTGGATGGATGTACTCTGAGAAGACGCTAAATGTTCTCGCTGAATACTTTAAAAGGTGATTTTCAGTGCTTATTTTTATCTTCTGCTGAGGTAATATTCAACTCTTTGATATAGAAACTGTATTTTTTCTACCAATATCTGTAAATGCATTAAAGTTACATCTCTTCCGTGGCCAGACATGTACAAAACTGAGAATGTGAAGATTATTCTGGCCTCATGTACACGTTGTGTGTCATTGCTTTCAAGTTTGAATACAGGTTTAAGTCTTTTTGTTTACAGTTGCAAATTATGAAATTTGACCGTATGTTTTGATAACTTAGCATATTTTGTATGTATAATATCATACCAGACCGATAAAAACTTACTGGCAAAGTACTGCATTTTCAAAACGTTTCTTCTCTTTTTTTCCCAGATTTCCCCAGATGTTTAAAAGTATCACTAAACGCCAGTCCAGTGGTGACATCTACCTGGAGAGGGACATCTTCACTGAGGGATGGTAATGACAATATTATTGTTAAAAACTTTGTAAATGTTCCCAGGGGATATAATAATTGAAGTCTGCTCTTGTAAAATGGGGTGTTTGTTTTAGCTAAATATACCTTATTTCCACTGTTTGCAAATTGTTCAAAAGATACATAAATTTCACCTGAATAGTGATATATTTTGTCCAGGGAAAATTTAAGTCAGTTCCCTGGCTTAAGTTGACTAGGATTTCCATGAGAGTGCTGTTACACTGCTCTTGATAGGGCAAGATGCCACTGAAATATGGTATAAAAATATATATTGTTTACTGCATGTACAACTGTTGTGTGTTGTTAAGAGTGATCAGTTCACTGTCTCCATTTTATTACAGCGGAGAGAGTTTGGAGGAAGTGCAACAATTTCTCAAGAAACTACCGTGTGCTGACGTCCCCCCTGTAGCCATAGGCAGCAGTTTCCTGGATGAACAGGTGATAGCTGAGATTGAGAAAGAGGTGGAGCTTGTGAAGGTAAGGTTATAGGAATCTAACCTGAAAATTTTGATCTATGTTGTTGTGCCAGTTAGTTCAGTTGCCTGATGAAGTTGATGAGGCAAAATGTTGAAGCTCATGCCATCTGTACTTTAGTGTCTGGTCTAAGTTATAATTTTCATTCATTATTTTTTTTAGAACATAAGAAATTTTGATTTTAAATTAGTCCTTGTTTCCTCCTGTAAGTTTTATTTTTAGAAGTTACTTGCATGTTTCCATTTCTGCTTCTCTTCTTTAATTTTTTTTTTTTCAGAATTTGGCTTGGTAGAATCAAAACAAAGGAGAGATTGTGCCTTAACATATGGAACAGAATATTAAAAATAAAGCTTATTTTATATATTTGCAAATCCAAGATGAGAACTCCACAGCAATTATTGATCAGTCACTGCAGTTACTAAAATAAAGTTTTATCTTATTGTAGGCCCTGAATGCCAAGAAGAAAAAGAGAACCAAGATGCAGGTTCGCCCACATCTCCTTTTTAGGGTAAGACTCATTGGAAACAACAATAGCAGCTTGTCTGCTCTTCAGAACAAAATTGTTTCATATTAGGTTATTTTTATAAGTCTTAGATCAAGCACTGACTTATCACATTTTGCTTACATACATATTTGCATTATAGCTTTTTTGTGTATGATGAATTGACATTCAACAGTCACCTTTATGTTCTCAATTTTGATAAATTTAGAAATTAATTATTTTTTAATTCCATTATATTTGACTTTATATCTTTAAAATATGATTCACAGCATTTTCATTGAAATCACATTGGGCAAAGAAGAATGTATTTTTTGTTCTCTTTTTGTTTCTGATTAGCTGTGAGTGATCATTGTTGACATTATTTTAGCCAATGGATGCCCAAGGCACAGTAATCCCTGACAAAAGTGCCACCTATGAAATGTTTGACAGGATTGTGAACGTCCGCGAGGGATACTCAGTCCCCGTGGGTCTCCGAGGCACCATCATTGGAGTGAACTCTATGGAGAAGGAACATGATATCACGTATGATGTTGTCTTTGATGAGGAGATTGTCAATGGACTCACAATAAGGTATAATACTTACCACTACTGAGAGAGAGCAAGAGAGAGAGAGAGAGAGAGAGAGATGGAGTCTGAGATTTTGGGGAGGTATAGAGATGAAAAAGTGTCAGAGAGAAAGTTTTGAAAGAATACACAATAAAATATTGTTTTCCAACTAAATGCGTATCTGAATACATGCTATTACAAAATTGTCAGTTTAAATAATAACTTTTAAAAGTGTGTTAGTTTACATTTCAGATTTCATATCTTCTTTAAATGTAAACAAATATAAATAAATAATGAATCCAAATATGTGCAAATTTTAAATTTAATTTAACAATCAGCATTTAAAAATATACTTGACTGAGGACTTTGGTGAGGTTCTTATTTTATCCTGGTACTCAGTAGGGAAAACCATAAGATATTCTCTGGCTTTGAAAACATCTTCATTTTAAAGAATAAAAGATGATTTAGAAAAATTAACTGTTTCCATTACCATTTCTTCTCCAGATGCACCCCAAACAGAGGCTATCGTCTGCCTGCTTACGCCATGATCAACCTTTCCTATGGAGACAGGAAGGAGTGGAAGGACTACAGTAAACTGGGGCAGCCCAAACCTACCGCAGTGGTGAAGCCACAAACCTCTGACCATAGTGTGGGGGGACCTGAGCGAAACAGGAAGTTGTACTCAGAGCTTGCTGGGAAGGGTAGCAACAAGGCCGAAAATGGTGGGGGTTTTAGACAGAACAAAGAAGTTAAAGTTTTCATGCAGGTAGGGTCTTTCAGAAGTCACTTCTCAGAAAATTTTATTTGAACAGTGTTGTAGCAAAAAAAAAAACTTTGAATTATCTTAGATTGAACCTGAACTGACGATGCCATAAATGAGTCTCTTAAATGAGTCTCTCTGATAGTCTAGATTTGTAACACTTTCAATATAGTTTTCACTGTTTTTAAGAGTGTCATATAAATTTATGCTTTTAGCATTTTATAATGTTAGATTAAGATGTGCTGATCCTTCACTTTAAAAAAAATTATGTTCCCAGCATCAAGACAGCCCCAACTCTCAGAAGAGTACACCAAGTGACCAGTTCATGTCTGGGGGCACTGGTCACTTCTACACTCCAAAGATGACCACTAGACATGGCAGTGGACACAACCCACAACAACAACAACCTAAACAGAAACCACCCCAGAAGAATAAAAAGGTAAATTTAAGAGTATATGGCAGTTGCACATGCTCAGAATGTAAATGTAACAGCTCAGATGTTTCTCTATGTCTGAGAGACAAGAAATCTCCAACTTAATTATACCAATCTTATTTTTTTTGTGGTCTGTGAATTAGTTAAGGTAGTTATTCAGTGGAACTTTTCTGTTAAGTTGAAGGCTACTACTAACTTGCAGTATTTGTTCTTGGGATTTTGTCTTTATCTCTGGTACTTATATTTCTAGCCTGAATCTGAAGGCAGTGAGTTCAGTGATATATGGCAGCAACTCCAGAAAGCAGCAATAGGTGGAGCAACAGACAGTACAGAAAGTATGAATAAAAAACAAAATCAGACATCAAAACCTTCTCTGTCCAAGTCTTCCAGCACTACTGTGTCTGCTGATAGCAGTAACACGAATCTGACATCAAAACCATCCAATCAGAATCAAGAAATCCCTTCACTGCAGCAAGCTGCCGCTGCACTGAGCACTGCCAAACTTCCAATGCAGACGACTTCTGAAGGTCAAGGTCAAAACAAGGGGTCAAAGGCAAAGAACATCACCATCTTGAAAAAACCTGAGGAATTCCAGGTGTCGAATTCACCAATGCAGCGAATAGACGTTGCTGATTTATTTGGTGCGAACCAGATGTCCCACACTGAGGCTGCGACTGCCCCAGGAAGTCAGTCGGTTAATGAGGAGTTTGCAGCTTTGATGAAGCAGCTGACGGTAGAGGCGGGACAGATGGAGAAAGGGGCCATGTTGGTGCAGGCGGAGGTGAGTTGGGGAAATATTTGACAGGTGCTGCCATGAGGAGTTAATTGTAACAATTGTCATAATAGGAATATAAACGTAGATTTTTGGCATTCAGATTTCAAGTTACTAAAATCAGTTATATGTTTGGTTAGAAAAAATAATTGAGAACATACAGATGACTGTTACTTTAAGAATTATGGGAAAGGAAAAAATGGTTACCTCTGTAAAGCAATCAGCTCTAAGCTAACCCTAAAACAACAACATTGATTATGAACTTTACACACAACTGCATCAGTGCATATAATTTCTACCATATCCAGGACGAGACATCAGAGGCTGACAAAGCTTTGAAGCAGATATTAAAACTAGGTCAACCAGGCCAAGAATCAGGTCAAGTCCACCAGGGTATCAGCCAGGCACCCCAGGGTGTCAGCCAGGCACCCCAGGGTGTCAGCCAGGCTCCTCAGGATATCAGCCATCCACAGCAAGGTGGACCCCCTTTGTATGGGAGACAGGTCTCAGTGGATGAGCTCTTCATGGGTAATATACCTTTGATAAAAACAGCTCTCTTATTTAAGTTGTCATTATAACAGTTGACCCCTTTTTGTTTTTCACTCGACCAAAAACTTTGATTGAGTAAAATAGAAATATGGTAATGACAAAATATTGTAAGTATTGCTGTTTTTAAAAGGGTGAAGCATTCTGATGCCCAGAAGTAAGTGAAACTTTGCAGTTGAATGCAATTGTTTAGTGAATGAAAATGTTCATTTTAACTACATCAGCTTCTAGATGAAATGCATTTTTAGCTGTAGATAATTTCTAAATCATGTGTCATAACTACTATTCCATATTAGGTGTAAAACAACAACAGTTATACAGTAAGCAGCAACAGCAGCACCAAGGGAGCAGAAACACAAAACAACAGAAGAGATCACAACATCAACAACAACAACTTCAACAACATCAACAGCAGCAGCAGCAGCAGTCCCACCAGCAGCAGAGGTAACATTTATAAGAGATACATTGTTACAGATACCTGGGTTACATATTCACTTTTGCTGTAAGATGGGATTTTGCTTCTTTCATAAAAACCTGTACTGGTCAAATTTAGGTGATATTGCTGCAGAATATGGTAAATTTGTTTGAGAGAGAGAGATGAGGTTGTTTCTATGTGTGTGTGTGTGAGAGAGAGAGAGAAATAGTGTGAAAGAGAGAATGTGTGTGAGATAGAGAGAGTGCAAAAGGGAGTGTGTGTTTGTGCACACGTGGTGAGAGAGAGAGAGAGAGAGCTACAGTCTAAGCTAAGATGTATCTTAAAATCTCATTTCCAGACTGAACGAGTGGTGTCACTCCATGAACCTCAAACTTCCCACATATGACTTCCAACCAGTTGGGGTAAGCAGAATTATGCTTTTCTAGAGCTACTGCCATTTTAAATTGACAACAAAACAAAACCAAGTGTGTTTGCAAATTACGTTTATTGGTAGTGTTACGTATTTCAATTTAGATATTACAAATAAATGAAAGAATCAAGTTTTATTGTAAATACCTCTGTGAATTTTAAAGCCCCTGGTGTTACCTGAAACTCAATGTGAAAAAATTTGATCTTAATAGCTTTATTTGATTCCTTTTGCCTGTAGATAAAATAGCTTAATCATAGTAATTTTGTAATGATAACATGTGACTTGATAATATGTTATGATGATCTGTACTAGTTTATATTTAACTTAGGAATATTTTTCTTCCTAGGATGAGGTTGTGGCCTGGATTACTCTGTCCAATGGCAGGAGGTTCCAGGGGTCAAAGTGCAAGTCCCAGGATGTTGCCAGGGAAAGTGCCGCCAGTATCGCCTTGTTGCAGTTGGTGAGTATTCTAAACCTCAATACAACAGAAATGAGATTTTTTGAATATCGGCAGATTTCTGACTTTTTAGGAGTCAAAAATATCATTTTTGAGAGGGATGCAGATTTGGGACAGAACTTCTCAGCATGCGCTCCCACTCTTCCTCTTCTTCATCCTCTTCATCTTCTTCTTCCTCTTCCTCATGGTCTGTTATCACCACTATCTCATCTGGCTCAGGATCAGAATCCTCAGGATATCCATCTTGATCTTCTTGACTCATGGTTTCTAAATTGCATATCTCCATTTTCTCTGTTGTAAGATGCCCAAACAAATTCCCTATGGCGGAACTCTCACAGGTCTCAGGTAGAGTTATCCAATCTGTCGTGCTGGGGATGAAGATTTCTGCTCTTGGTTTCAAACACAAGTTTGAATCCCCTAATGAAGAGGCTTGTATGATGAGGAGACCGTCAGATTCCTGGTTTAGCAGGGTCTGTGCATCTTCTCTCGTTTTCCTTGCTTCTTCTTTATACTGTGCAATTATTGACTTTGATCGTTGGATGTGATGGAGATTTTCGGAGTGAATGTTGTCTACGTCCCCACACAACTCCTCACAACATTCGTCGATGGCTTTCTTTAGCATAGCAGCCCTGGCTTGGATAGTGGCTTTTTGGTTTCTTTTAGCTTTCAGTATTAAACCCTCCAGTCGTGTAAGCTTGTCTTCTTCATCTGTTTGTCTTTGCAGGAGATCAACATCCTCAATAAGTTTCTCTAAAAGTTTTCTTTTTTCTTCTGCTTCATCCTTCAGGACAACAACATTGTGTCCATTGTGTCCTGTCACTAGGCAGAGTCCACAGAGTAAAGAGTTGTCGTCTTTACAGAAGATGTTGAGTTTTTCCTCTGGGTGGAAATCACATTGTAAGGGCCCTGTGGCGTCATGTCCAAACTCCTTTAAAAATTCTTTGGCTCTTTCGGTCATTATATGCACTGGCAAGGCTTTAGCTCCTTCTTTGGGTAAGTGCACAATAGCTCTACACTTTGGGCATGGGAACCTCGTCTTTCCCTTTGCTATATTTTGAATACAGAGAAGGCAGAAGAAGTGCTGACAAGGCAACACTCGAGTCTCCATCATTTCTTCTTGGCATATGTCGCATGTGAGGAAGTCATGGATAAATTTCTCCATTATGGTGTGGGGACTCTGACAGGCATCCATCTTTGCAGTTAACTTGAGCAATTTCACCAAGATGTTAAATGTAAAGCATACGTTATCCACTCAGCAACTTCTTTCCAAACATGTTTTAGTTTTCTAATTTATGGATTGCATTTCATGTCATGAAGTCTAATATGGCTTTTACAGTGACTGTTTGGATGTGATTTCCAAAAGCTTTTCTTCATAATGACCTTGTTTGGTTATATGTAGTTGTCCAGTCTGTTCGTAAGTCTTATAAAACACATAAAGCACTTACAGTTTATGAAACGGACCATCATCTTTCTCTCATCTGATGTGATTGCCTGCTTCTTGTATTTGTACACTCCTTTTTTCTGTGTATATTGATTAATCTTTGGTACCGTCAGAAATGCACCTTTCAGTGCAATGTTGGTATTGATTCATTTTATATTTATTTACATTGTTGTGTATTTGTCGTCAGATATTTAATCAATGGACCTGTATTAATAATTCATAATGAATAACATTTGTTTGCTTACATGTCAGTTAATGACAAACTTTGCGCCAAAGGAAAAATCAATTTCAGCTGAGTTTATAGGGTTCAGTGTTGTTTGTAAAAGAAAGAAATTTTCAAAACCAAAACAAAATTAGCCTCAAGTCATGTCAGGAGGCTCCACCACAAAGCAGATGCCCTTCATCCCAACTCTCACAAAAGGGGGCAGCACCTCTTGGTCTGATGTACAATTTTCTCCAAGATAGACCAAGACAAATGAATAAAGATTTCTCCATTAACATTATTACAATTAAACTGCCAAATGATGTAAAACTAGCATATTTGTAATAATATCTAAATACTCATCAAATATTTATCTCTGAAAAGTCAATTACATTTAATTTCAAAACAAATCTGGTATCTGTTATGAACAAAAATTTGGATGATTAAGAAAAGGATATATCAGATAAATTTCTGCTGTCATATTGGTTGAAGTTATTTTAAAAATATGACTGTCAGTGTGGGACATAGAATTTAATTCAGAATAAAATCAATCTTTGTTTCAGACAAACCCGTCCAGGAGACAACAGGTTCATGGACCTGGAGGTATTCAGCTGTCTCCAAACTCTGCCTTCACCCCTGTCAGACCTCTGTTTACTGGAGTACAAGGTAAGTTTACTCTCCAAACTCTGCTTTCACACCTGTCAGACCTCTGTTTACTGGAGTACAAGGTAAGTTTACTCTCCAAACTCTGCTTTTACACCTGTCAGACCTCTGTTTACTGGAGTACAAGGTAAGTTTACTCTCCAAACTCTGCTTTCACACCTGTCAGACCTCTGTTTACTGGAGTACAAGGTAAGTTTACTCTCCAAACTCTGCTTTCACACCTGTCAGACCTCTGTTTACTGGAGTACAAGGTAAGTTGATCTTTTGTAGACTGTTTTTACTTGTAGCCATCCCCCTGCTGTCATTGCCTCGTTGATGGTGTCATGGCTATGCACTTTTCAAAAATATTGATAATGGATACAAATACTTTTCTTTCACAAGCCAAGAAAGTTAAGAATATGTAGTTAATGTTTTGAAACTTTTATTAAAGATGTTATCCTGATAATTTTTAAAATAATTTTTGTAAGACAGTCACTATGGTACTTATATTGAAAGGATTTTTTAACATTTGTCTCCAATATTTTTGTTATTCCAGGTCCTATGGCATTCCCACCAGGTGTCGTGCCAGTGGGTCCCCTGCCCCCAGGTCTCCTACCTAAGGGACCCCCACCCCCTCCATATCAGGGCCAGCCACCCCACAGGGTCCCAGGCCCAAACCCTGGTATGCAGCAGCCATACCCTGGGGGAGTGCAGCCATTTATGGGGCATCAACAAAATAATAGGGGGCAGCACCAACACATGCAGCAACAGCACAATAGAGGACAGCAGCAGCAATATAGGGGGCAGCAGTTTGACCAGAACAGGGGGCAGGGTAGGCAAGTTTCTCCTCACCAGTGGGCGCTGTGGAATGATAGGCCCGAGGGGCAATTTGTGGAACAGGGAACTCCACAAAAAGAAACTAGACATAAAGAGGAAGGAGCCAAAAAGAATCCTTTTGTGCCGTTGCAGGTTGGTAGATAAGCTGAGAGTTTGTCATGCAATATTTATGAATATGATTAGTTGTTGTTGGAAATTTTTTTCTGTCTCCATTTTTCTTTCTTTTGGATATCCTCATTTTTATGTATAAAACATTCTTGGTTTTTCTTCATATGCATTGTTGCACCCAGTACTGCACTTTTACCTGAAAAATACTTTTTATCATGCAGTATTTTAGGTTTCTATCAGTTTATTTTATTGGCTCTTTTATAAATGCATGTTTTAAATATACATTTCAGGTAACCAGAAAGCAAACTACTCCACATAAACCACAAACAGGGACAGGAAGAAAAGAACATCAAGATGACGACAGCAAAATAACAGAAAAAGCAACAGATGTATCAGTAAGTGACGCAACCTCAACTGCTGGGGACACAGGGCAGCATTCTCAACCCAAGACCCCAGAACCACAAGGCGGTGCTAAGTCAAAGAGTAGCCCCACTGGTGCTCAAGTCAATAAAAAATCAGACTCTTCCCCTGAGCAGAAAAATATTAAGCCACAAGAGCAGTCTTCAGGCAAGCCAAAGCACCCGAAGAAAACAAGACGATTGGCTGCAAACTTTGGTGGTGGTAGTGGCCAATAGGGGGCGTTGCTGGCAAAACGTGCTTGTAATGGCAGCTTAATAAGAGAAATTATAGAATGATTTTAGAAGCCCAATCCCTTTGAGAAGTTGAGGAATTATGCCATTCAATTTAATGTACATTTATGAAGAATTGTAGGGACATAGGAGTTGTATATAGATGATATTGTGTTTGCAAACTATTTTAGAAAATGCTTGAGAATAACGCGTCCCACTCTCAGGTGGAATATATGAGAAGTTTTACTCATTTTATTTCCATGAGTATTTTATTAAAAAGGCAGATGTAGGAGAGCATGTAGTTTTAAATGTTCAAAACATTGTGAATGACAAAGTCCTGCCTTTGATGTCAGTAAGCAGTATACTGAATTGGTGTGGAAAAAAAAGCCACCTTTATAATATTTTCAAACCAAATAGAGTTATACATTGAAACATTTATTTTATGTCTGCATGTGGTCAGAGATTTATACAGTTTTATAAAAGTTTCTAATCGAATTTTTATAACAGTATTAAATCAGCAGATTTGTCTTTTTTAGTATTTGTCCTTTGATTTTTATTTATTTGATTATTTATCTTTTTCTGCATTGACTTATGGATAACAGAGATAAAGCTTGTATGAGGTGGAAATGATTTTTTGATGAGAATTATAATATTTTAAAATAAAGAAAAAAGAACATGATTACTGGAGTGAAAGCGTCCTTACGGTGCATCCGGAGATGTATTTCACAAATAAATAAATTCCTAAAAAATTACGTGGTACAGGGATATTTTCTTACTGATGATATTGAAGAAATGGCGCTGATAAGTTTATTATTATTATTGTTGTTGTTGTTTTAGACGCGGTATTGTAACCAAAAATTGAAACTGTTTATGGTCAAGCTGCATCAATACAGGACGGTTTTCTTTAACGTCATTCTAAAATGCAAATATGTTTATATAGCAAACCTTAGCATAAGGTGTACCTTGTTGATAAAGGAAAAATTGCTGGGATTTCAAAGAAAATTAATTATTTTATTATCGTCTTATTATACTGCCTATCGAGCATTTTTTTTCCTATACGGAAACGTGCCCTGTGCAATAAATTAAATAGTTAATACAATTAATAGTCAAATAACGCAAATATGTATTGCGTTTATTTAAGATCGTCATTTTAAAGCTTATCTTTAGTTCTGTAAGCAGTCCATGGTGATAATAGTTAATAAAACGGACTTGAAGATGAAGGACAGAGAAATGCCACTTCAAGTCTTACGTCATCGCTGAACAAATATCTCCATGTCGCCGGCGATAGTGTAAAAGATTAAAAGTAAGTCTATCAGTGTGAGGGTGCGTTTCCAGTGAAACTACCGCACTAGGTAGATCGATCCAACTCCGTGGAGACTCCTGTTATATGCAATTTGGTCAAACGCAAAACGAAGTGAAACATCTTCCGGAAGCCGAGCTCACACGGACGTTAATCACCCCCTTGCTGTTAAAAGACTAGTGTCATTCAGTTAATGTGACTGTATTCAGCAAGAGTCCCCGAAGCGTTGGGTCCATCTACCTAGTACGATAGTTTCATTGGGAACGCACCCTCGGTAGACAGACATGTTATATTAGCCACTCGGTTGTTGATGTCGCTCTATAAACTGCATATACATGTAGGCCCTACACCGTCTTCAGAGATATCGAGTGTTTACTCTTACTCAGAGTAAATACAACAGTCGTAAGCTGACCGACTAACTGTCAGAGAGGACCATGCCGCCGGATGATGCGTACGTGGAAAAGACCGACTTTTCCGAGAGAACGCCTCTTCTCCCCACACCTGCAGACCCAGTTAAGGGCTCAAAATGGACCCAGGTCGCTCAGCTCCTAATTCTCTCCGTGGTGCACATGTTAGGCGTATCTCCGCTGGCAGCTCTTCTCAGTCTTGATGGAATACTGAACCCAGAGATAGGCATGTACGCCTTGACGGCCCACTACAGCGGGACCCTGATCTCGTTTGTGACTGCGCCCGTGATTACGCGGAAATTTGGAGCCAAAGGGACTATTTTGTTCGGTTGGGGTGGGCAGTTTCTGTTCGTGGCGGCCCACTTCTACCCCCAGGCGTATCTCTTGGTACCTGTTGCATTTTTTGTGGGTATTGGTAAGTTGTAAGCCAAGCTTATATTATTGTCAGTCAAGAAAGGCTTTAAAGGCACGCAGTGCGTATTATACCATCACATATTAGAAATATAATTCTCTAAAAAACTTAATCAATTTTCCTCAATCAACAAGGTATATCATATTCATAAACAGTTCACTGAACGACTATCCAAAGCCGCCGCCCCCCCCCCCCCTTGCACTAAATAAAACTGAAACAGACTATTTTAGGTAATTGTTTCCTTTTTTTTTAAAGTGGCAAATTTCATAATTAATGTCTTCCAGGTCATGCCCAAACCATGATCACAAACGCTGTTTACGTCACAACGTTAGCGTTACGGTATTCTGACCTCACAAAGCAGCCCCAGGAGTCTGTGATGGGTCTGTTTAATGGGATCTTCTACTCCATCTTCATGTTTGATGGCGTCATCAGCAATACGTTGTCATCCCTGGTGCTTATTAAACCTATAGAATACAACGTGTCTGTGCTGGCAAATCTAAGTGAACTCTGCGGACCGTCTTTTTGCCCGTGGGAAGATACATCGGGGACTTATCTTCGTCAACCAGAACAATACATTGTATACATCCTGCTGGGCGTGTTTCTAGGAATGGTGGCAGTGGCGTTTTTGACGACCCTTTTCTTCCTGAAGAACATCCCAGCGACTACCGGCGATTCCCTTCACGGCGCCAGAGCTTTCTGTGGCAAAGTTGGACACTTGATGTTCAAGAGAAAACTTGTTTTGTTGATACCGATATTCATGATGATTGGTCTGGAACAGCAGTTTATGATGACAGAGTTTACTAAGGTACACTGGCAAGTCTTTTATGGGGCAAAATGAAAAAAAATATGAAACCAAACACAAATAAAACAGATAAAACAGAACATTACGTTCAATTATTTGATGTCTTCAATGTCATTTTATTCTAGGGTTTTGTAAGCTGTGAGATTGGGATACAATACAATGGTTGGTCTATGGTGTGTTTTGGCTCCGGACAGATCGTGGGGTCATTGGTCACTGGGCGTTTGGTCAAGTTTGTCAACTGGACAGTGATGTATGTGGTGGCGGCGTGCTGTAACATTGGCTGCCTGACCACCATGTTGTACTTTGAGGCAAACTTCACCACAATGGAGTATTACTTCTTGGTGCCGTTCGCCTGGGGATTGGCGGACTCGGTCTGGATGACGCAGTCTTTAGGTAGGGTTTCTGGGGCTTCTCTGGTTATGCTACAGTGCTATATCACATAACGGCTATAGCCACTCCCCCCCCCCCCCCCGAAAAAATGGCTTAACTTTTAGACCAAATTTTTGCCCATTCTGACACAAGATATATAGCCAAGGAGAGGCAGGATCAGTGTTTTAGACATATATGCCTACTACGTTAACAAATTACCGGACCCGATTAAGGGTGCGATTCAAACCGATTCCAATCCAATGTTCATTGTTTAAATACCTGTTGTTAGTTGAAGGACTTATACATCTTTATCATATTTAATTCCAGCTTTCACTGGACACATGTTTCCAGAAGAAAAGTGGCCAGTATTTGTAGTTTGCAGGAACTCCTTGTACGCCACGTACGCAGCACTGTTTGCGTACTCGAACTTTGTGTGCATGGATGTGAAAATTTACATAGCGTACGGTATGGTGACGCTGTCGTTTATGTCTTTCATTTTATTCTCGATATTTCGGAGGTTTGAAAAGACAGGATGAAATTATTTACACTATTATTGTACGTGTGCAGTGAGTGCGTTGAAATTTATTTCATTTATAAAAAACATCAAAGCATAAACTTTCCCATCAGCCGTTCACTTCCCCATTCTGGCTTTTAAATCAACATCCATCATTTGCAGATAGTAATTTGTATTTTAGACATATGTTCATATAAAGGCTCATGGCTTAACTACTTTGCTTTGTGTTTTACGTGCATTACTTTGCCACGACTCAAGACTAAACAATTAACACCATTTTACGGAGTCCGATAAATATATTAAGGCTCATCGGGGCCACAGAATAGAACGAAACATATATGTCAACTGGTAAAGTATCAACATGAGTTTTAATGTTTGTCTCGTCCTCACCATCTTTACTTCAACTTACCACTTACTACCTGTCACTAAACATCCAAATTTCTATTAAGTTGAGAAAGCAATACAGTAACACCCTCAAAATATACATAGAAATATAATATAATATAATATAATATAATATAATATAATATAATATAATATAATATATGCATGCATATGTTTACATAAATATCTCACCATTATGCCTCTATAAACTAAATCTCCAAAACTGTCACTGCATTATTCGGGATCACACATCAGCGTGGCAGTCATACAAGGGAGTGGTCCTGCAAACAAACTGTTCATTTATGCAAAACAAATCCTTGTGCAAATAAGTGTATTGGATGTGCTTCAAGTCAGCACACCTGTTGCAATATTGACCCTTTGCAATACAAATTTTGTTCTTACATATATGATAATTTAGTATATACATATAAGTCAACACGAACCTCTTTTCTGCACAGCAATTACAGTTCCGACAGTTCACTAGTCAATCTCTTCAAAAAGCAACAGAGGTCATGTTTTCAACATTAATATTTTTTCCGAGAACAAGATGTCCTTTAATATGAAGAAGCATTCTTCACAAATTCTGACTTTCGTACACATTTTTAAACGGACAGATTGACCCACTTAGGTTTCTGGAAAAATCCACCAATATTCCCCTCTTGATATAAGAATTTCGAAGAGCTGAAACATAGCGCATAACTGCACCAAATGGCACCGCTTGCCCCCCAAATCACCGGGCCCCACACCAAAAGGGCAAGGGTTGACTTCGCATCCGAGGCCTGTCATTCTGAAAAAAACTGGACCCCCTTCAAATAATCCTAGATCCGCCCCTGCACGATATAAGTGTAAATGTATTCGTGAATGAATATACGTACATATTATCCTTGTTTCTATGTGTGTGAGTGCTGTCACAGACCATCTATATTCACTCAGGGCTAAAACACTCCCAGTTATCCATTACCTTGCCTAAGATTTAGACCTAATTGTCCACACCTATATATTCCTGTCAGGAGCATGCGTGATTTAGCTGCACTAAAAACGGATTCAACCACATTAAAGCGTGTCTACCAATCACCTTTAATGGCCATTCTGAGCATTACTTCACACACGTTTAATAAGCCGTAACAAACCTGGTTTGCATTAACAACTATTCCATTAGGACGCCAGTGTCTGTAGTCTCGTTCACACGGGGTCTAAAATGGACCAAAATTAATTGCTAAAACAGGGGCCTGTTTCACGAACTTCTGAAGCCATTTGTTGTTAAACTTGTAGCCTAAAATACTTAGCTGACTATAAATTACACTTAATATTGAAAAAGGCACTCACCCCTTGAGACAGTTTTCATGACTAAAGGTTTTACTCTCTCATTGCATGGTGACAGAAGCTTTTTAACATGTAAGTATGTCAGATATATTTATCGTGGTCCCATCGCACCTTAAAACTCTTAAACCATTAGCTCAACTTTGTACAATATTCAATAACCTTTAGTCCAATAATTTAAAGTAGAAAGAAGTATTATTTCACAAATTTGACAAAATCCGCTATTACAACGTTGACAGTAATTGAGGATGCGCAGAAATAGTGAACGATCTACATTAAGACCTATATGTGTACCAGGAACAGTCTCTAGGACATCAAAGTCGATGCAATACTTTCCCGATTTAATTTAGTTACAGTGTAACCACTGCATAAACCCCATCTGTATTCTCACCCGATCTCAAACAAGTACGCGCCGCATGTAAAGCATGGTGCAATAGGTTCTTGAAAAGCCCAACCAATTTTGTGATAAAACGATGCAGAGACCACTGTTTATGAACCATTTTGACGCATCTACATTAGCTATAGGCTCCATACAGAATAGGGGACTAACTAGTCCGAGGGTAAAATATGGCGACCCACTACAAAGCTTGCCGCCTAATCTGCTTATAGACACTGAATGAATATCCGGTGGGGAAGTATTGAAGTAGTAGTAGTTAGTCCCTTATTCTGAATGGGGGCTTAATGACATAAATGAGGGTTTATTTCAATTCAATAAATAAAAACAAGTACTAAATATCTCCTTGCATGTTAATTTTTAACGATCCCCGTTTCTGGTAACAGATTCTTATTGCCCCACCAATATCTATTTAGAAATCATGATATGGAAATGAATTTAATGTGAGATTAAAATCCAATTAAACTTTTAGAGGGTGTTTATTTTACATAGAGAGTGTTTTATGTATTTTACTATTATTCCAATGACATCTTTCTGTGACATGATATACATTTGAAACATTTTCTATTATAAACCGAAGCTGTGTAGAATTTTACGTAACTCAAGTTTGTGTTCGGATTACCTGACAACAGGTGGAGGCGCTTGTCCGGAACACCATGGAGCAGTCAGAGCAGGAAACCAGTTTAAAGACGAGGGTCACACGCAAAGGTCTTAAGATAAATTTGCCCAAATGTTTTTACCGCTTTTGCTTCGGAAACTTCTCTTTGCATAATACACAAATCAATTCGGTTCATAACTGATTCGTCTCGATTTTTCTTCCTGTATTCCTGTACAATGTTGACAATATTGAGGAAACATTAAATAATCAAAACCACTTGACTTACCGCTTGATTGTTCCTTATGCCACAAAGATCTCCTATATTGCACCTGTAATTGCATTTTAGTATTGTCACAAACATAACATTTCACCTTAAACATTGTGTAATGCCTCTGTAATGCACTCTAAACAATTATATAGCCCTTTCATTCTAAACATGCTCCGAATACATTCCATTTGCAAGCATCATAAATCAGGCTAGATGTAAATTTTAGAGAGAAAACATCTTGTTAATTGGCCTCAACAGCGCGGTGACACGACGCGGTTCTTGCACAAGGTAAAAGCTCCCCTTCATCGTACGGTGCTCCACTCCCTCTGCTGGTAATTGGTACTAGAGGATTGTTGCGGCTGGATAAAATATAAATTTTTATTCTGATACATTTACCCCATTAATGAAAATTTGTTGATGCGGTTGCTGCGCCAGTTTTGATTATCCTTATTTGGGGCCGGAATGGTTGGGCATGTTTTGGGTCCCCATGTATAACAAAAATGTATGTGAAGTTTAGTGAATATTAAGAGATAGGGTAAATGGAATTGAGATTTCGGGACGTAACTGCACTTGCATCTTGGCTGCCAGCTGGCTGTTAGTCGTATGTCTCTTTGACATTCCATCGGGTCTCACTGCAGCAGAGGGAGGACATTACACTCACGGCAACGGTAAGAAGAAGTTGTATGGTCCCTGCTTTGCTTTACAAAAATGTTGGGCAACTGATGTCATGGTTCCTCATACATGAACATGGCTTCTAGGATAAATATTCATGTTTTTTGAAAGACAAATTGTGGAAGGAAAGATGCTCTTAGTTCCAGTTCACAAATAAGCGACATGGCACAGGGACAAAACAAGTGAAACTATTTTTGGGGGACTTTTTAGCTGAATTTTAACAATTACTTAATTAAATTAAAAGTGCCTTTTGAGGCGTTGGTATAACATCTAGTATATTGATGTTGGGTATATATATATATATATATATATATTGACATTTAAACTTCATGGAACTAATTGAACTTTTGGGAAAGGGCCCATTAATATTGCTTTGGCTGAAATGAGTACACAGTCAGCTATCTTTAGAAGGGAGAATTAAACAATCTAGGTTCATGGATTTTATGTATTTGTGTAAGTGAAATGGGGACCCAACCCGGTATGCTAAATAAACAGGTGTTAATAATTGTGCACGTGAAATCAGTGTCCTCTTGCTTCTATTTAAGGGTAGAATGGCGACCCACCAGCGCATGGCGTGGACTCTACTTTCTCTAGCGTTCGTGCTGTTAACAATCCAACAGGTCACCGGGATCCCGTTTGCGACATACCCTTACGTCAAACCCGACAAACCTCCAACTGCTACAGCACAGGAGTTTATATCACTTATGAAACAGCGAATGGGGAACCTCCAAACAAAGTTACCGTTTTCTTCGCAAATTTCGGTTCAGCATCAAAAGCCGCAGTTGCTATCTCCGACTTACTTTAACTATGTCCAGATGCCGCACCAATACGCCTTGCCTTTTATGATAGAGGTTGACGTGTGTTGGAACCCATTCAGGACGTATGGGTCTGGTACGTATGAACTTCTCTCTCTCTCTTTCTCTCTCTCTCTCTCTCTCTCTCTCTCTCTCTCTGTTAATCTGATTACAATCAGCTCTTTCGGCCTAACTCATTATGAACGACTCCTCACTCGTCGATATTTAAAGATCTAAACGTCATGTCCCACTCGAAGAAAACATGCCTTTTTATTTAACATTTTCACTACTATTACACAAGAAACAAAGTAAAGCCCATTTACCGTATTAACAAATTAAAGAAAAAACATTTTCGATCGTTGACCTTTAATTGTCAGTTTTATGAGTCTAAGACTTGGCCGTTAATGTAGTTAATTAACCCATCCCGTGTCATTTCATGTTCAGCACGTATAATTGTGAAGCAATTTCCCTAAAACCCACTTTCCTCCACATGTGGTCCTTAAATGTGTTGAAAATATTTCGATTTAATGTGCTATTTGACTTAACGTCTAATTAACCACTGTGGTTGACTGACATTAGGTCGTTCTTCCTGTCCTTGTCACATAACCTGAGTGGGCAGTCTTCCTATATACATTAAATAAGGACAGAATAACATCTTTAATTGAACTAGTTCTTCCGAGGACTTCTCTACTTTTTAAGCACCTACCGTCCTTGTACAGTGCCTTCTTATTCATTGTCTTACGTGATTTCATAAATAACGCGCCTTTTACAATTTAATTTTGTAGCCCATATAAGGATTCTTTTACTTTAATAGCACGTAATGGGCTTTTGGACACAAAAAGTCGTTTGATACATGTGTCTCAGTGTTTTCAGAATCAAACATTAACAATAGTACCCATATCACTTTCCAAGTGCAATTTAGCGTTATACTAATTTCAGCAAAGTATAGTCATTCACAGTCATTAATGTCTTATTATTATTATTATTGTTATTTTTGGATACCTTTTCTTTAAAGTTTCTTAAATGATAAATGAAACATGCAAAATCAAGAATTAGAAATATATTCCAAATACAAAGTACCACATCTTTTCAAAACAAATTGACAGAAGTAGCTCACCCTCCCACCCTTTTCAAAAGGCAAAATAAAATACTGGAACACCTCGGAGAAATATAAAATAACATCTGTATTGTTAATAACAAATAGAGAGATAAACTTCTATGTACAGTATGTGTATGCATATAATACCATATAACATTTTTGTAACTGCATTGATAACTGTGCATATTTCTCAATATCTGAGCAAATATGCTCAGTTCCCTCCCAAACACTGTGAGACAAAATTATGAATTAGCAGGCAGTGATCAGAAACTATTCATCCTCCTCAACCCTCAAGATCAAAAATCACTAAAAGCATTATCACAGTAAATACAGTTAGCAGCACGATGAAGTAGCACTTTCTCTTTTTATGTAAGCACAATATGGTAGATTCTGTAGTAGACTAGACAGCAAACAATGTTAAATTGTAACATTCAAAGCTGAATAAATTATTATTATTATTATTATTATTATTATTATTATTATTATTATTATTATATGTAATGTTGTAAAGACTTACTTTCAATATCTTTAGGTACATTTGCTGGTAACGGTCTCAGTGTCCACGGCGCCTGCACCGGATATATGGGGTGCAGGACACAATGCTACTCCTTGCCATTCGGTCTTGTCCGGTGTTCTTCGTGTGGCGCTGGATTCACGCTGACAAATGATGGACTGTATTGTATAGGTATGTTTGGATACTGACAGACAGCTTTGAAAATTTTATGTCTTAACCATCAGTGTGTTTTGAATTATTTCGGTAAACAACCATTTGTAATTTTACGGCCATTTTGAAAATCGAAAACATATGGCTTAAAAGGTAGAAACTGATTATTTACGTGTCCCTTTTGTTGTCTTTGCTTTGGTTTATCTGAATATTGACCATATTGCCGACATATGATACATGAGGTATGTGGTCGGTTTCAGGATCAAGGGTAGCATTATACCAGGTCATACATATATATTATATTTCCATAAGATTTGAAACGTTTAACAAGACTGGGCATAGTGATTTTGAGATAAATTGTCTCGTCGGAAGAATGACATATCTAAATGACTTCTTTTTAGCATACCAGGCTTAACAAACTTTACAAAGATGTTGAACTTTTTTTAATTAATCTTTAAATCTAGGTCACCCATGTAATGTATTTCAGGTGCAACGGATGTTTGGAAAGTGCTGACAAGCATTCAAATTCAAATTCAATTTGAATGTGTCTTATCTGAAACTAAACTAAATTACTGCATATCTTTTTGCACAATGCCATATAGGCCTACAGTATCTCAGGTGGTCCTTATATTACAGCGCTTTTGTATTTTAGACATCAACGAATGTCGTCTTGGTTTTGCCTATCATGGCTGTCAACAGAAGTGTGTCAACCTGCCAGGTGGCTTCATGTGCACCTGCTTCCCTGGTTACCGCCTCAGGGGTGACTGTCAAACCTGTGCACCGGTGACCTTTGTGACCTTACCGACCCTGCCACCAGTGGTGACGACGACACCAGTAATCAAGACAACTCCACGTACGGCAATAGAAGACTGAAAGAAAGTTTTATTGTGTAAAGACCCATGGTGTACCTTTGCTATATATATGATGGGTGCATGAAATGGTTATCAGACAATATTATAAAGTTATTAAGGTGCTCTGTGGCTCTATTTACAATGAAACTTTCTGTCAGTACTACTTCATTAGTCCAATGAAGGACTTAAGAATTTTAAAAAGGAACCTCCTTGAATAACGTCTTCAATCAAACCCAGAAATATTTGTTTAACTTAAATGTGTTGATAAACGGATGTGAAAAACATCATGATAATACACACTAATACAAATTGATATCTGATCCACTTTTGACTCAAATTTGCATTTGAAATGAACCGACCTTAAGATACGGTACTGTGCAAATTCAATTAGAGCTTTGGATTCTGCAGTGTGACATTTCCCATTTATTATAAACGATCTTCATTGCATTTTATCATTAATTTGATTATTTAATATGTTCTTTATATTTCTCACAGTGACTGTTCAATATAGAAAATTCATACTGGGTAATGTTGAACAATTTTATTGTTATGTGTTTTTAATAAACAAATAAAGTTTCATTTGTCAATAGGTATAAAAAATAACAAATTCATTGTGAAATTCATTGTGACTCCAGGTATAAACGTATGTGACTCGGAACCATGTCTGAATGGGGGTACGTGTGTGACAGTGAACGGGGACGGTTATGACTGCGTGTGTCCCCCAGGCTTCCAGGGAGTTCACTGTGAGATAGGTAAGACTGACTTCATACCTGGCCAAACACTGGCAACACAATCTTCGTGATTCTTTTTTGATAAGAACGTATACTCTCCTACGATATACTTTCCTAGAGTAATAGATAGAGAAATGAGTGATTCACTAGATAAAAAGAAAATAAATAGATTGAAAAATAATGAGAAAGCAGACAAACAGATAAGTGGAATAAAATTGAAAATACTATACTGGGGCATAGAATTGACTTACTTGGAACGGAATTAAGTAAATTTGTATGAGGTCAGAAGTGTATAATTTTTTTAAAAATTTATGTAATATTTATGCGACTGATTTGGATTATCTATATCAAAAATTATTTAAAATTTGTGCGAAAAACATGCATCCCCGCATCAAATGCTTACTGGGATTGTTCTTGCTTTCTTGATCTTTTTTTGTGATAATTAGATACAAATGGTTCCTTGGTCTGAGCAATAAATATTTATGTTGTTTATAGGTACTTGGTGAGTACAAATATACACAAAGGTTTACCTGAGAAACATTGAGGACGTGAGGGTGTTTCCTACATTTTGATGACTTTATACACCCACGGACGATTTATCTGTTAGCACGTTTTTTTAACACACAGACCCAAACAGCTGTTATTTAATTGGCAACAGTGTCGCATATTTACTTTTGTGTGTTTGCCAAACGTCAGTGCATGTTCATTAGTCTGCCGCACTTTCCACACAAACAACACGGTAATGTATTGAATACGATTAATTTAAAGTCATTTTAGAAATTGAGTTTCCTTTAAGGGCGTCTTTGAAAGAGTTGGGTCTTCACAAACTAAGGTGACTGCACTGGGAGCCAAAATACACGAGCGTATATACATACACCTCTTTTTGCTGCTAAAGACAAAAAAAGATAAGAAAATAAAAAAAGAAAATAGATATATATGTATTGGTGCATACCCATTTGATATTTTAAGAGATGATTATAGATTTATCTTAAACGACAGTACACCTAATTTTGGTCCAAAAGTTTCGAATTTTTAGGGTGATAAATTTCTTTTGTTGAAGTGGACCCAACGGGCAGATGAAAATTTGAACCATATACACATGTACATGTATAAATGTACAATGTATATCTTGTCAAAGTGGCCTCTACCATAATACTCCGCTTATAGTATCACATAATGTTGACTGAAGATTGAAAGCATTCATTTAGTGCTATTTGTAGCTTTAATGTGAAATAAACAGCATGTTATGGCAACCACTGAATAAAAGTGGGGTTACAGGCACAGGTGCGTCACCGTTTTTATTCGTCAGACACTGCAGTAACATCATGAGGCGTGGTAAGACCTCTTCCTGTATATATAGAATATCAATGAAATGACGGAGTCCTCGGAGAGCATACAGTTCTTCGCTATTTGAAAGGTACATAATTTCCACAAATAACAAGGACAATTGATGTCGGGGGGGGGGGGGGGGGGCCAGGGATGATACGACCTTTTCCGTGAAAAGGTCTGTTCAGGGTTAAACTTTCTTCTAGGTACACGAAGGTTTCCAAAAAACAACCCTTCCCCACTGAAATTTCTGGCAATGGGCCCGTTCCTTGAGAGGTACACATTACTTCAACGCCTGTGAATTTTTCTTTGTTGTACTTTATACTGTATTGCGACTGTTCTAGTTTTGTGACTGATAATAATCTAGAGAGAAAACCCGTGACTGAAGAACAGAACCCGCATAATGAAATGCATTGAAACATTTGTCACATCAAATAACTTGTTCGTAGGATCCATTGGTGTCAAGCACAAGTTTTTTCTCAGAAAGAACCGAACCGAATGACAAGTTTCATTTTCAATTTTACGGATATTTTTACTTCTTTGAAATATCATAATAGAACATCAGATTGAGGGGGTGACTATTTTTAATTTGAATAAAGTAAATGATAAAAGCTGTATCTACACCAATACTTTCCTTTTTTTGTACCCCGAAGCATGTGATGTTTGACATATGGGATTAAAAGCACAATTTAAGCGATGTACTGCCTTTAAGCAGTGTAGTTCTCTTACGATATTGATATTTAGTTATTCTCTAATACAGAGAGATAAAACAACGGCTTGGCAAGCAAGCCAAGAAGTAAAGATGATATGCATAATTTATTACCGTATTTTACAACTGTTTGTCTTCTCTTTATCTTATTACAACTGCTACTGTATTTTATAACTATAAATTTTCTTTTTATCTTAGTACAACTGCTAATAGCTCTTTTACAATTAAATATACGGATAGCAAAGCTATCGTAAACGCAGGGAATCTTTATCATTTAGTAGTAACGTAGTTATATTTTAAGATGTATATATCTTCTAAGCTTTCATACTCATGCTCCCACTGCTGTTTTAATACATGAAACGTACCAACGATGATCATCTATAACACATTCACTGTGTACATTTTAGCAAAATTGATGCAACACATTCTTTGGTGTGAATCACAAAAAAAAAACTTGAATACAGCATCACATGGTCTTACTTTAATATAGTTTTCTTAATCCACAATAAAAAATAGTCAAACAAAGCATCTTGTAACGCTACACAAAACAACACTTTGAAGCTATAAGATTTTTAAATACCTTATCTATAACATAAAATATCCATCGAAATATAAAGACTTTTTGTAAACAGGAGAGATTCATATTTTATCAAAACTCGGCTACTAAGCTACCACTCGGTCATAACTGCCTTACAAAACCTGTGGGTTCTGTAATACAGGAGCCGATGTAACAGGAATGGCAGTCCGCTAGGAACCCTAGTCCGCTTCCCATTACTTTGTACAGGTGACATTCGTCCTATATGCTAACCACCAATATTCCAACTAACCCTAACCTGTACTAATCATATGGGAGCCCGGGCTTCCATTCCTAGGAGTTCCATTTCTGTCACACTGGTTTCATCAACACTGTGGAGTCTCTAGCGTTAAGAAAACCTTACTAATCTCAAAGGATAACTGCCAAGAGGATATTTCAGCAAATGGATAGTGTTATTCAAAGGAAAGCGTTATCTAGTGTTGATCAAACTGGGTCCAGGTTTTCTTATAAAGGGTACTAAATCGTTCATTAAAATTTATGTTAACATGCAACTGTTTTATTATAAACAGGTACAGATAAATAACATGGAATGCATATAACATGCAATAAATGTACTTGCTGAATCGAATACTTTGTGAGACATACATATATATATATATATATATATATATATATATATATATATGACTAATACAGTCGATTACTTGCAAAACCAAGCTTTTTAAACAGCTACATATATGATAAAACTTCATAAATCATTTGTAAAAACAATTGCGACCATAAATCTCATATTTTCTTGCCCTTTAAGAAATATTGATAAAAGACAGCCTATGAATGACTTTGCTTAAAACCCCTTGGATTTGTTTTAAATTGTGTGTGTGTGTGTGTGTGCGTGCGTGCGTGCGCGCGCGCGTAAGTGTGTGCTTATTTGTGCATAAAGAGACGGTCACAAAGACTGGGAAATGAGAGATATGACTAAAATATGGATAGTATACCACTGCTTGTAGAAGAATGTATCTACAGTAGTTTCAACTTTGCTACTTTCGTGATTATGAAGTGCAGAACACAATAGCCCAGAAATACTGAAGTAGAATAGTGTGATGGTTGGAAAGGAGTAAACAATACACACCGCGTAAACTGCTGCATAGTGTTCATAAAACAGTTGTAGGGATTGGGGACAAATACGCACATGCTAAACTGTCACATTATAAACAAACACATAATCTTGTATGTGTCTTTACGGGAAGTCTAGACGGATTAGTTTGACGTAAGTAATGACTGGTAGAGTCTAGTTGTCCCCTTGATATCATAATCTCTTTGAAGAACACATGAATGGACTTAAGAAAGACGGGGATTTTCTAAAAGCAGAATAATCTTTGAGACACTAGAAATGATTGGTTCCATACAGGATGCTATGGACAGATGACTCTATTATGGTGCACCACTGTACTCGGAATTACTTCCCAAGTTACTTTTTCGATAACTGATCGATAATTTGGATTGTTCTGACAGTATCAGGGTGACTGGGACCAAGTATCTCTTCTTCCACAGTACGGCATTTATTGTAATAATCAAGTGCATCTTTATACTCACCCATGGCATGCAGTACGCTACCAATATTGCCGTAGGAGGTGGCAGTATCAGGGTGTTTGGGACCAAGTATCTCCTCTCTCACTGCAAGGCATTTATTGTAATGATCAAGGGCCTCTTTATACTCACCCAAGTCCTGCAGTACTCTACCAATACTGCTGTAGGAGATGGCAGTATTAGGATGTTTGGGACCAAGTATCTCTTCTCTCACTGCAAGGCATTTATTGTAATAATCAAGTGCCTCTTTATACTCACCCTTTGCCTGCAGTACACTACCAATATTACTGTAGGAGATGGCAGTATCAGGATGTTTGGGACCAAGTATCTCTTCTCTCACTGCAAGGCATTTATTGTAATAATCAAGTGCCTCTTTATACTCACCCATGTCCTGCAGCACACTGCCAAAATTGTTGTAGGAGGTGGCAGTATCAGGGTGCTTGGGACCGAGCATTTCCTCCTTCACTGCAAGACATTTATAGAGATAATCACGTGCCTTTTTATACTCACCCATGTCCTGCAGTACACTACCAATATTGTTGTAGGAGGTGGCGGTATCAGAGTGTTTGGGACCAAGTATCTCTTCTCTCACTGCAAGACATTTATAGTTATAATCAAGTGCCTCTTTATACTCACCCATGTCCTTCAGCACACAGCCAATATTGTTGTAGGAGGTGGCAGTATCAGAGTGTTTGGGACCGAGCATTTCCTCCTTCACTGCAAGACATTTATTGTAATTATCAAGTGCCTCTTTATACTCACCCTTTGCCTCCAGTACACTGCCAATATTGCTGTAGGAGCTGGCAGTATCAGGGTGTTTGGGACCGAGCATTTCCTCCTTCACTGCAAGACATTTATAGTAAT